TTGCCTCACCTTGCAAGAAATAATACCTCAATTAATAGCAGTAATAAAAATGAAAAGAAGTACATAGAAACAAGACAAAAATTATACAGAAGAAAAGCACTCCTTTGTAATTGGCAGAGCATGAAGAACTGAGCTCAAAGGCCACTTCCTTATCCAGGTACAAATTCTGACAGAATGTTTGAGAAATGGGCAGAGAAAGTTTGCTTTCATCGATGCTTGGTTTGTCAAGCAACCGTTTCCCAACTTCGTCTCATCTGTCCCAGGAGGAGCCTGAACTCTAAGCCAGTTCTGTGTCTCCACACATAGCAGCATTATTTGTAATAGCCAGAACCTGGAAACAACCTAGATGCCCCTCAACTGAAGAATGGATAACCAAAATGTACATTTACACAATGGAGTACAGTAGTAATACATTTTGACATTTGCGGGCAAATGGATGGAATTAGAAAAAAAGCCATACTGAGTGAGGTAACCGAGACCCAGAAAGACAAATATAATACATATTCACTCATAAGCAGATATTAGATAAAGCGAAGGATAACTAGCCTACAATCCACAACCCCAGAGAACTTAGACAACAAAGAGGACCCTAAGAGAGACATACATGGATCTACATAGGAAGGAAAAAAAGACAAGACCTCCTGAGTAAATTGGGAGCGTGGGGGGAAAGGGAAGAGGGTGGAAAGGGAGAGGGAAGGAAGTAAGGGGAGTGGGGAAAATATATATCTCAATAAAAATAAAAAAGTTGGCAGGAAATAAGCCAAGCTTAGGTCGGGCATTTAAAAGTAATAATAAGTCTCTGTGTGTATTTATTTAGGAGTTAGGGGGCAGGCCTCTAAAAGAGCTAACAGAGAAGAGTTAAAAAAATTAACAACCAAATACAACAAACAAATCTTAATTAAAAAACAAAACACGATAGTCAATATCCTTCAAAGAAAACCTGCAGGCACGGAAGAGGCTTTCTCCAGAAGGCACTGGTCACATAGATCTTACACAATATTCAAGGCATGTTCATTGGAAGTGACTACGCAGATCACTGTAGCACCTTGACTTTTGTGTATACTAATGCATGATCTCTAAAATTCTGAATCCGTCTACACTCTTTTGGACCAAGCTGCTTTTCTTTTTAAATACTCAGCTTCTTTATTCTGTGTTCTATTTATAAATACTCTTAACACACTTTTCTGTAGTCTGACCCTACCCCAACACTGGCTAATTAATGCTGAGAGCTTAAAAGACAGACACTAAAGCTCAACAAAACGCAACATGGAAACAATGACTTTTTATTCCAGCCTAGTTCCAAATATTTGTTCATTCTTTTTCTCAAAGGTAGAAATTGCTTATTTTTAAAAGGACTTGATTTATTGCTGTTTTTTTTAATATTTGAAGAAAACTGTATGATAGGGTTCATGGTATTCAAGGGGAAAGAAACTGAGTGGAATGGAGTTACAATTTTTTGAAGTATCTTTCAGAGCACACGAGTTGATCAGGGAAGTTAGAGATTACAATGTCAGGTGCAATGTATACAGCACAGCAACCCGAGTGGCTTTCTGTTTCTAAGGGGAGGGATTTGCCTCGTTCTCTCTCCTTCTGTGTGCAACCCTCGTTCCTAGGCAGGGGCAGGAAAAAGGGAAAAGGTTGGAATGTCAGAAGTCTGGTGAAAATCCACAGAGTATGGAATGCAGCAAACAGGGTCATTTAACAAAACCTGAACTTTGTTTCCAACATCTTGATTTTAGTGTCTTGCCTTTGTAGCAATAAAACCGGAACTAGAGACTCTGTGTCAAATTTGACTAGGACTAAAATTAGACATGAAGGTTGAACATGGAACTGCCCAGCTTCTCCTTCTGCCTCCTCATTCTCTTGCGGTGTGAATGAAGAGAAGGTGGCTCACACAACCGGAGATGCAACTGGCTGGGTGTCTTATGTGCTACGAGCCAACTCTGTTTCTGTGGGAAGGATCCAGTTCTTCTGTCTCCTTTCTGGTGAGGTGGCAGGCAGCTGCTGTGGGTGCCTGTCTGTGGGGCATGCGCATGCTAGCTAACGCTGACCAACATGGCACGGTAGCGTAGAGCTTAGTCAAGGAATTAGTTTACCCAGTTTTCTTATACTCTAGCTTAAAACTTCATCTTCACACAAACAAACAAAAACAGGCCCCAAGTAATGCCACTAAATACTGTGAACTCTCTTAACCTCTGCTGGAGAGGCATTTATCTACATTCCTGCTGTCCTCCACTTTATTACATCATAATTTCCTTCAGTTTTTAGGCCGTTTCGACTGCACTCCTTAACCCCCAATTTTAAGTGGCTACCAAAGCTTTCTGCGTCTCAGTCATCTGTCCTGTAGTCATTTATTTCTCCTTGTCATGGACCATGGACGATACACCCCGGTAAACAGAGTGCACTCAGGGAAAGACAGACACCACTGCTGCCGTTATAGCGAGGTTCCGACAGGAGGCAAGTGGATAAACAGTTCTGTACCAAATGTGTGAGCCATTCTAATGAAGAAGGCAGAGGGAGTCCATGGAGACAAGTCTAGTTTGGGTTACCAGAGAAGATAGCCGAGTGCATATATTCAGAAAAAATACAGGCAGAAGACTCCTTGTATTTCATTACTGGACACAACTAAGGAGAGGCTTTATATTAGACTTAGAGTTAGAAAGACACTCTGCCCTGCTCTACTGGTACTTAGGGGCTATACCTGTGTGTGTGTAATGTGTGAATGTGTGACGTAAACATATAAGCACAAAATGCCTCTTCTCTAGCTGGGGAGATATTTAAATTGGCAATGAGCTTGCTGTATCAGTATGAGAACCCGAATTCGATCTCCAGCACCCCTGTAAAAACTGGGCACAATGGCACACATTTATAGTCCCAGAGCTGGGGAGGCAGAAACAGGTGGATCCCTGGCACTCACTGGCTGGCCATCCAATCAGTGAGCTCCAGGCTCAACAGGAGACCCTGTCTCAAAATATAAAGTGGAGGGAATAAAGGAGGACACCTGAGGTCAATCTCTGGCACACACATCTTTATCTATCTATCTATCTATCTATCTATCTATCTATCTATCTATCTATCTATCTATCTATCCATCTATCCATCTATCTATCTATCCATCCATCCACCCACCCACCTACCTGTTATCTTAGCTATCATGTGGGCCTCCTAAAGGATTATTTTTCTTTAACATATAGTGCATTGAGAACTAAATTATGCATTATTTTCCTACTGAAAAAGTTCAAAAAGTTGTCAGGCAGTGGTGGCGTCTTTGATCCCAGCACTTGGGAGGCAGAGGTAGGCGAATCTCTACCTCTTAATACTGTTCCTCATGTTGTGGTGACCCCCAACCATAAAATTATTTTTGTTGCTATTTCATAACTTTGCTACTGTAAGGAATTGTAATGCAAATATCTGTATTTTTTGACGGTCTTAGTCAGCTTCTGTGAAAGGGTTGTTTGACCCCCAGAGGGGTTGTGGCCTGCAGGTTCAATTTGCTTCTCTAGACTTCTCAACACAGCCACAGTGGCAACAGTGAGTTAAAGATCACACTATAGGAAGAGGACACTGCCAGTTAAAATAGTCTTTCCTCTGTCGTCACCTTGGATCAAGAACCCTATTTATACATTCAACAAGTTATGTCGGTTGTCTCTTACGGCACCCGCGACAAAATCCCCTATCTACGGCGGTTTTATATGAGGCAGACCGTCAAGGAATAAGCACACACATTGCCAACACAATCAGATGCGGACCAGAGAAATAACTGCAGTGCTCGGACAGCTTTTCTGAGAAGGTGACCCCGTGAGCTCACATGGGGGAAGTAAGGCATCTGCCCCGTGACCTGCAGGATGGACAGGAGTCAGTCACCAGAGCTGCAGAAGCGGAGACCACATCACACTCTTCCCAGGAGCCCTCTGCCCTCACATCTTTTTCTATTCTTCTTCTTCTGAAAATAGATTATTTTTTTTCGTACAATATACTCTAATATGGCTTCTCTTGAATTTCCTCCAAGATCCCCACCACTTTCCCTCCCTGCTAAATCCACACCCTTTTCCCTCTCTAGTTAGAAAACAAACTTGCATCCAGATAATAATAAAATAAAATAAGATAAAATGAAAACAAACAGGACAAGACAAACAAAAGAAAAAAGAGCCAATAAAAAAGCACGAGAAACACATATAGACTCTCTCTCACACACACAGAGAAACACTCATATAAGGAATCCCATAAAAACAGAAAACAGGAAGCTGTAATATATATATATATATACACACACACACACACACACACACACACACACACAAAGGGCCTGTAAGGTTAAAAAAAAGCCCAGACAAAACATGATGAGACAAATATCCTGCAAAGATTCCATTGCGTTTGCTTTGTGGTGACCATCTACGGCTGGGCATGGCGGGGCCCTCACATTTTCACCTTCCAATGTCTTCCTCACAATGGACCCACTCTCTCAAGACCACTTGGTCAGTGTGCGGCCCGGCTCCTCCAGCCTGGCTCTGCATCTGACAGAACACTCGGGGCTCTGGTCTGCCTGAAATGAGCTTCCCACCACACGCCCGAGGAATCCCCACGCAGGAGCTCACTGCCCTGCCCGGGAACTCCCCGCGTCCGCACCATTACTGAACCGCAGAGCCACTGAACGCTTCGTGAATCCCAAAGGCGTTTTCCTTTCCTTTCTGGTCACCTGTTTATTTTCCCAGACCGTGTGGTCACCCCGAGTTCCAGGAAGGTCACAAGGTCACCTGACCACCAACACTCCACCCGGCACGTCTCAGACACGGCCGTGGGCACACTCGGGGAGTAGGGGAGCTCCCCTCCACGCCCCCTGCCCCAAGGCGCCTGGATGACGTCACCGGGCGGCGGGCAGTGATCGGGTCGTGACGTCGCGGGGGCGGGCCGACCGGCCGTGAGATCACCCGGTGGGCGGGGCCGGGCCTGTGCCCCAGTGTCGTCACGGGCGGGGGCGGGCCCCGAGCGTGTCAGCGCAGCCGAATCAAAACAAGCCCGAGACCCGCCTTTTCCCTCAGGCTCCCGAGCGTCTCGCTCCGCTCGCGGGCCCGTTGCGCTCGCGCGGCTGCGAGCCTCGGGTGGCCGCGCGTGGCCGCCCGCGCCGGCTCCTGGAAACCGGGGAGGGCGCGGCGGCCAGGATGGCGCGGCTCGGGCCGCACGGCGGGGCGGGTGCCTGAGGAGAGCGGCCGGCCCCGCGCTCTCCACAGCCGCCCGGGCGCCGCGGGGAGCAGCCTCCGTGGGTGCCGGGCACCAGGACCCCCTCGAGCGGGCCGGGGAGATGCCCAACCCCAAGAACAGCAAAGGCGGCCGCAAAAACAAGCGCGCCAATAGCAGCGGGGACGAGCAGGAAAATGGAGCCGTGGCCTTGGCGGCGGGTGCGACAGGCGCGGCGGCCGGAGGGGCCCTGGCGGCGGCGGCGGGCTGCGGGGCGGTGTCACCGGGCGCGGTGGGCACCGGCGGCGCGGCGGGCCCGGGAGGTGCGGGCGCGGGCGCCGCCAACGCCGCCAGCGCTGCGGGGGCTGCAGGCGCGGGAGACGCCAAGAACGGTAAGACGACAGCGGCGGGGCGAACGCCAACTTCCTCCCCGACGGGCGGGCGCGGCGGCGGGGCCCTGGGTGGCGCGGGCGGCGCGTGGACAATGCGAGTCAGGAAGTGCTCGCCCCGCCCCTCCGCCCCGCCGTGGCTGTCCCTTCGCGGTTCCCCACGCGGAGCGGCGTGGGGCCGGGCTGGGGACCCCGCCGGGATCGGGGTTCGGAGGGGCGCCCGGGGCTCTGCTGCCGAGTTCCAGTTAGTGGCTGTTCCCCACGGTGTCTGCGCAGGCTGAGTCCGGGAGTGCCCCGGGCTAGTGCGAGCCGGCGGGCGGGCAAGTAAAGGTGTCCAAGTTAGAGTGATCGGATCGCAAACTTCCCTGCTCACCCCTGACCCAGCCGCCTTTGCTCCCTATGAGGAAAAAGCCTTAATTCCCGATAGATCTAGGCCTGCCGACTTGATTGCCACAGGTGGAGAGGCCAGGGCTTGGCTGCAAGAAGTGTGCTGGTCTCTGTCTCTCTGTCTCTGTCTCTCTCTGTCTCTCTGTCTCTGTCTCTCTGTCTCTCTGTCTCTGTCTCTCTGTCTCTCTCTCTCTCTGTCTCTCTCTCTCTCTCTCTCTCTCTCTCTCTCTCTCTCTCTCTCTCTCTCTCGTAGGGGAGTGTTCTTTTAATTCTCAGCCTCGCTCGAGGAAGGAAGAGAATCTGAACTTGACTTCCGTTCCCAGCCTGGAGGTGTTTTTTTTTTTTTTTTTTTTTTTTTTAAAGAAAAAGTCCCCTGTATAATTGTTTCACATTTGTTTTTCGAAAGAAGCCTGATAGTCCTCTGAGCACCTGAATGATCCTTGTCACGGGAGCATGTAGGTGATAGTTAAGACGCGGCAGGATTTTCTCATAGGGAGGCACGATTTTCGTAACCAGATGCTTGACATTTATTTGGACGGTTTTTAAACTTTTCCTTATCGGGCAGTTTTCCAGGGAAGAGAATGGACACCTTAACACGAGTACATGAGAATCGTTGCAGTAGTTCGGCAGTTGTCAGTCGCGGAAGCCGTCCTCTATGGAGATGGTCTCTCTTTAAACTGGGTCCAGCCCTTAGAACTCCACAGTGCTTCCATATAGGAGGCGACAGGCTGTTTGGAAAGGAGCCCCACTGGCCGTGCCTCTGCAGTTTTGAAATAGGAGGTTTTATTTATTTAATATCACCAGGCGCAAAATCCATGTTTGTGAATGTTTGATAATACTCTTGGCTAGCCTGTGCCTGTTCTTACTTTCCTAGCTCTAGCCTTTTGATACCAATGTTCAGAGAGGAAGGTATTTAGACTCTGGATAGTATCGTCTCTGCTTTTAACCATTTAGATCTTTGATATCTGGAGAAAGGCCAGATTTTTTTGAACCTCAGTTTACTTTGATGGTGGGGTAGAGTTTTATTCTGAGGGGACCATAGAGAGACCCTTGACTATCAAGTTCCTGGTTCTTATTACTTTAAAGACTTATTACGTAAAGGTCAGCAAAGCTCATTGCAAATAATAGATGATTGATAGCTATTAATTATTCATTTAGAACTTTTAATCGTCTGTAGTGTAAATAGTACTGCATATTAAATAGGGACGATGCGGGTGATTACAAGTTAGGACATCTTTGATTCTCATGAAGCCTTCGTTCCTGTACTGGTTTGCCACACTCTGAAGGATTTGAGTGTTTTAAAGTGCTTTAGTAAGTTTTCCTTTGGCAGGTGGTGCCTCCTTGAAAACATTAAGCCAGTTAGGATGCCCGGTATTCATTTGAAGGAGCACACTGGTAGATTTAGCATTGCTGTGCATACCTATGTAAAGCTGTGTGTTTCTGACTAGGACTTTATTCTATTAGACGGAAAAAGGACGAAACGGGCCCCCACATTTCCATAACCAGAATCTCAGAAGCTGCGGATGAAGAGCAGTGAGCTGAGTTTTATGGCACACATTGTTGGTTCTGACATGGATGATGCCTTGGTGAATAGTTCACTTTAACTGGAAGAACCATCTCCATGCTTCTGAAGACAGTGTTAACATAGGGTCTGAAGCCTACACAAAAATGAATAAGGAAATTGTAAATGCTTTTGAAATTATATACATATGTATGTAATTGTATGTATAATTTATTGTTGAAATAAGAGCGGCGGGGCTGCGTCCCCAACACCCCGGCAGCTTGGCTAGCTTATGCCCGAAATAACAACACGCAAACTGTATTCATTTAAGAACTGCTTGGCCCATGGACTCTAGCCCTTACAGGCTAATTCTCGCACCTGGACTAGCCCATTTCTAATGTTGTTGTAAGCACCCCAAGGTGCGCTTACCGGGAAGAGTCTAGCCTCCGTCCATCTTGGTGTCTCTGCTCCAGCAGAGCTGTCTGGTCTGTCCGGGAGCCGAGCAGAGTCTGACCTCACTTCCTCTTCCGCCCAGAATTCTATTCTGTTTACTCCTCCCATCTATGTTCCAAGCCATGAGGCCAAGCAGCTGGTTTATTATAACTTAACCAATGAAATCAACAGATTGATATATGACACTCCCATATCA